GCGCCTGCGGACGGACACGCGCGGGGTCAGCAGCGCTCCCCAGCCCCTGCCCAAGCACTCGCAACCCGGCGGCGCGGCTACGGTCGAACGGCTGTCCTAAAACAAAGGTTCATTAGGACTCGTCCCTGCTGACAACTTTCACGAAGACCCTCCTTTTCGAGCCCGTCCAGTCCTCTTGAGTCCTGCTTCAGTTAAGTAAGTCATTTCCTCCTTCCAGCCCGCCCCCTTTCTGTAAAAACATCACCCCTGCTCCCCCCAGTACACAAACATCCCTTGCATCAAGCCCTCTGCTGAACAGGCTCTTACGTCTTCCCTTTGACTCAGTCTCTGTCTCGGTACATTCTTTGACCGCCAGGTTACCAGCCACGTTCCCAGAATGCCGTTTCGCCCGGCATGTGGTGTCCCTAAAGGGAGCTGCTCTTTCTCTAGTGGACCAGTCCTTGGCACGGCAGTAACTCATGGTCTGTGGCTGGGGTTTCCTCCCAGGCGAGATCCACAGGCTGCCGAGCTGATTCCTAGCTCGTAACTGCCCTTAGGGTACCCTCCCTGGAGATTTTCTGCTCCTTTTTTGGACAGCGATTATCCCCATTTGCAACTGCCAGCGCACTCACCCGCATAGTTAGAAGGCAGCAGATCAGAGAAGCTGTTCGCTGGGGAGACAGGACACAAGGCCACTTCGTTGGGCTTCTGGGGCGCCCTAAATCTAGATATGCTGCTGGTCGAATCCACACATACTGTAAGGACTCCCTACCTTCTTTTTCTTTTCTGGGGAGCTCTGCCACCACCCTCTCCCACCCGACTTTTTGATCTGAGAGAGGGACCGTCGACTCCTGGCGTTCCGTTAAGCGATTCTCCAGAGCCGTGTTTCCCGCTTGATCGCCCTATTCGTCATCCAGGGATTGATCACCCCTAAAGGTTTTTGGCCCCAGCGCCCTCTAGTGTCTAGTGTTAGATATTTCAATCCAGAGCAGGCCTGAGGTCTCTGGTGGATTTATGGGAGATCTTGGCCTCCTAGGGATCTCTCTTGGAACCAAAGACGTTGAGCCTAGAGAGGACCACTATGACTCTCCCACACTCTACTCCCTGCAATTCCTCCTGGAATGCAATCTCAAAAATTGGTCCATGTCGATCCTCTGTACCAAAAAAACCCAACCAAACAAAAAACTGGTCCATGAATGGATTAATGCACTAATGAGTGTATAGCTAAATGTGATTTGGGAGGTAAAGCCTGATACACGAGGTGGCCTAGATCTGTCTTCCTCCCTTGATCTTTTTGCTTCCTGTTGCCATCTCATGACCTCTTTTCTCCTCTACCATGCCCCTCAGCCATGCTGCCCTGCTGACTATGGTCTGGTGCTTATTTTCCCCTCCCCATTTGTAGGGATTGAATACAGATACCCTCTACCACAAAGCTACATCCCCAGCCCTTTAAAATTTTTAAACATTTTGAGACAGGGTCTTACTAAGTTACATAGTTGGTCCTTAGACTCTTAAGTCCCAAGCTAGCTTTGAACTTGCAGTCCCCTTGCTTCAGCCTCCCACGTATCTGAGATTACAGGCACATGCCACCCTGCTCAGCTTGGAAAGGTATTAATTTACCTCTGGTTTCTTCCTATGGACATTTGTTTGGATGTTGTATTAGAACATCTGTTTGCTTAATTTAGTATGAGAACTATGTTTCCATCTACTTCTATCTACATTGAAAGGTCTTAGATGGTCCTTAGATTGTGAGCACCTTGAAGGAAAGCCAGCTGTCCCTCTCACAATATGTATGAAAGTCTTGAAAGCAAATGATACCATATTCCAAGTCAGGGAAGAACTGCATTGATCTCTAGAACTTGAGCATGGGAATAAATCATATATTGTAATCAGCCAACTTCCAGAGTGAGGCTCAGAATTACCTAATTGTTGTCAGCAGTCCTTTGAGCAAATGCTTTTTCCACTCAAATCTCCCCCACCACTATGTAGTTCAGGCTGGCCTTGAACTCACTATGTAGTTCAGGCTGGCCTTGCACTTGCAGTGATCCTCCTGCCTCAGTCTCTCAAGTGCTGGATAACAGGTGTGCACCACCACATCCAGCTTCCCTCAGACTTTACAGATGAGAAAACTGAAGCTCAGAGCTTCATTCACATTCCCAGGTTCACAAAGCCAGTAAGTATTGCATCTGAATTCAAATCTAGATTCAACAAGCTCCCAAGCCTCCCTAAATTTATGGATGAAGGCCTCTAATGGAAGCCCTGTGTTTACATTCTAGATACTCATCTCTGAAGCAGACAATCATCCAGCTCAGAAGTCATTATGCTGTTGCTCCAGAAAGAGTCTTGAAGACAGATGCAGCCAGAAACTTAAAAATATGCCATCAAAGGCCCTTTTGAGTCTTATGAATATCTACTACAGGTCTTCTATTAGACTGTATTTTCAGAAAGTAGATCACAAACATTTTTGAGGAGATTTTAGCTTAATAAGACCATAGAAATGGAACGCACCATTATATTAGTTAAGGAAGGGAAACTGTTGTAACAAATAGAATAACAAATCCAAGGTAGTTCCAGGTAGAGTTCCAGGTGAAGGAAGATTCTGCTCTGTATATCATTTAGTGACCTAGACTACTGGGGATTCTAAGAACTCTAATAAGGGGCTTCCAGAGTTGCTCTGGGCATGGATATGTGTCCAGTGTAAGGGAAAGCAGCTACAGTACCAGACCTCTACACCAGTTCTAGACCTTCAGTGATTGATGTATGTGTCACCTTGGCCTCCACCACATACATCTACTGTCTACTCTACCACTCAGTAGAAAGTTATTCAAGTCCATCAAGTTCCTAACTCTTAACAAAACATCTACCCCGGGCTGGGGATGAGGCTCAGTTGGTGCTATGCATGCCTGGCAAGCACAAGGTCCTGAGTTTGATCCCCGATACTGCAAAACAAAAAAAAAACCACCCATCTACCCCATGCCAAGCCTGGCTTAGGTGCCACAAGAGATCACAAAATGAATGAAAGCTGTTTTGCACCAAGGCCCTGGAACTGGAATCTAGTAAGTAAATATGAATGTATGCTATGAGAATTTTTTTTCTCATCTCAGACTTTAAAGTCACATGTAGAAGATGCAGATGTTACTGCCTAAACATTATTCTATACATTTCCATCAGTGTCAGGAAAACACTTTCAATTGCTACTTTATTTAAACAGTGATTAGTGGGCTAAAGTTTTAGCTCACTGGCAATTTTGGAAACAATGCTTTTGAATGCTACAGATATGCCTGCCCCTTCAGTGACAGTCTTGGCAACCTACAGACTTCCATCTCCCACTGCACAGGCTTCTACACCTGATCTTCTCACCAGGCCCATCACCTTTGACGCAGAAGAGACGGAAGTACTCCCTCTGCTCATAGTTGCACTTGTTTGCATCCACGACTCTCGATCTCGCTCAGTGTGTCCCTGGGATCCATGGAATTAGTGGTTTTCATTCTCCAAGTGAAGTGAGGACCGAGGTTTTGCTTCTTTCTTTTCATACTTTGGCAGATATTTTGCAATGCCTTGTAAATCTTAAAGCTAATTTATTAAAAAGATTATTGGAGGGCTGGGGATTTAGCTCAGTGGTTCTGCCACCTGCCTTGTAAGCGCAAGGTCCTGGTACCAAAAAAGATTATTGGAGCCTTGACATTGAGGCAGGGACAATGATGAGTCATCCTAAAAAAAGGTTGAGAGGGAGAGTAAGCCATTGTATGTTGCAGTTCCTCCCTCCTGGGGCTTGGCAGTACAAAGTGCAACCACTGGGATTGCCTCTTGGCAAGTGGGTGCCAGCATGGGTGGTTGCACTGCTAATACTGTGGGTTGAAGCAACTGGACTTCTCTAATCAGGAATAGTGCTGCTAGTGTCTGAGTGCCACAGAAGCAAGGGCTTTGCTTCACTGTCCAACCAGTTCTGCGCTGTGACTACGGGACACAGTGGGCTTTTTTTTTCTTTTTTCTCTTTTACATTCAGGAATATCTGTTTTGTCAGAATTACTTCGGGTCCCAAATATGGAACTGGCTGCAACAATTTTCTTGCCCTTTACAGCTCTTCTTGCAAATTTCTCGAAGGGAAATTCATGTTCCTTGAGGTTACTGTCTGCAGTGTTCCTCTGATTCTTCAGATGAGAAACAGCTAAAGGAATAGCTGGCCCAGCATGGTCAGTAGGCAGTCTCTGAGTCCTGCTGCAAGACAAGCTTGTCTGCACTTGGTGGCCCAGGAGCCTGGTCAGTGACTTGCTAAAGCTGCTGCTGGGCCACACTTCAGCAAGTGAAAGGTGCTGCTTGAGTCTGGCTCAGAAGATACAAGTACCTGAGATTTCATTACATTTCCTCTCTGAAAGAGATTCATGAATTTCTTTTTCTGAGAATCCCATGACAAGTCTTCATATTTATTCTTTTCTGGTCTGAGGTGTTTAGCTCTGGTTCAATGAATGTTTCAAGTTTATTTCCCTCATACACTTCATTTATCTACATTTCCTTCATCATCTGATCTAGAGTGCGACACTTTTGTTGGGTTTCCCATAGGCATGGTTTCAGGAGCTTCACAGTCTGTGGATAGGTAGAAAGGGATTCTGTATTTCCCTGTGAACACTTTCTCTTGCTTCATATTTCTTCTGTTGAAGGGGTGCAACTCACTAACTAGATCATATCAAACCACTCCAAGACTCAACACCTGAACTTTCAGCCCCAGCATCCCTTGCCCAGGTGGATCTCTGGGGCTGCACGTGCAGGACTGCAACAATATGTGTCCAGGTTGTTGCCCACAGTAAATTCAGTGCTGAATCCAAAATCCTTTTTTTTTTTTTTTTTTTTTTT